TAAAATTTCCGTAGTAAACTTTGAACAAATGTATAATTTCAAACTGTAATACTCCCATGTAACACTCAAACGTAACACTCCAATGTAACGCTAAAAAAAAAATTATTAGTGTACTTTTTTCAAGCGTAACACTCCAAAAAAATTTCTTACTGTAACATTTCAGTATAACACATAAAAAAATTCCTTGGTGAACTTTTCCCAAATATAACACTCCAAAAAAATGATATAAGATTATTCAAACCATTCCAAAAGGATGTGAAATTTTTCAAACCATTCAAAAGGAGTATAAAAATTCCTTAATAAGTTTTGAGCAAATGTATAATTTCAAATTGTGAATGTTATGTTTAGAAAAATTATATTAATGATTTTTTTTTTGTATTTTTGTGTGTTACATTGGAGTGTTACGTTTGGAATTACATTGATTGAAGTGTTACGTTTGAAAAAGTACACGAAGGAGTTTTTTTGTGTGTTACATTCATTGAAGTGTTATGTTTGAAAAAAAAAACCCTAATGATTTTTTTTTTTTTTTTTTTGTGTGTGTGTGTTACATTAGAGTGTTACATTTGGAAAAAAAATATACTAATGAGTTTTTTTGAAGTGTTACGTTTAGTAATTTCAACATTATGAGAAAATCTACATTTGTCCCTCAACACAAAACATATGCGCGTTTATGCTTGGCTTTTTATGTAATTCACATTAGAATGAAACTTTTGGGTCTATAAGAAAAAAGGGAAGACCAAACAGTTCATAAAATCATTATTTGATTATATAAGAAAAATGAGATTTCTAATGAGAAACCTCCTAAGAGCTCCAAACTCTCATTCTAAAATTATTGATTTTTCAATTTATAAAATAGATTAAAAAAACTTATTGACTGATTTATTTATTTAATTATTTTAAAAATAATAATGGGAAGATAACAAAAATATTTCATAATCTCTCCATTATAATCTCTCTCGCCAATTTTTTTTAAAAAAATAATAATAAAACTTTCATTCCTTTTCTCTCCTCCAAAAAATCAAATAATATTTTTTATGAAAGTTATGAGTATCTGTCTATATCATATATATTATATTATAACATAATCAAAAAAAAAAAAATTAGATGTACAAACAGATGAAATTGATAAATTAGATTTTTATTTATTCAGCTAAAATATTTCTTTTGCCTCTCAATATCTAATTTTAAATTTTAAAAATCTATAAAGTCTATCTAAACAAATCTGATTTGAAAATATCTTCCACTATCATACTTTAAATCAATAAAATTCATATATCTATCACATATTTAACTCGCATCATAACTTACCTAAATAATAATGATTAAAAACAAATAGAAATCATAGATAAATTAAATTTAAAAAAATAAATAAAAACCCACAATTCCATCTAAAATAAATTGAAAAAAAGAATAGAAACCACACACACAAAAAAAAAAAAAAGGATAAGAATTTAGTAAGAATTCATACATGGATCTCAAAAAGATATAACAATATCTAAATTTAAATTATGATTTAACAATATAATTATCTATTTTTTTATATATATCTATCAAAATTTTAAATCACTTAATAGGACAAATAAATTAATTTTTTAAAATTATTGATTTTTCAATTTATAAAAAAGATTTAAAAAAAACTATTGGTTGATTTATTCATTTAATTATTTTAGATATGATAATTATCCCTTAATTTATGAATTTCAAATAGAAAGATAACAAAAAAATTTCATAATCTCTCTATCCTAATCTCTCTCACCGATTTCCAAAAAAAATAAAATAGTATGTTTGATTTGAGTTTTTTGAATTAAGTTTTTTGAAAACTGAGTTTTTTTGTTTTCGTGTTTTTTTGTTTTTAGCAAATATTTTTAAAATTTTAAACATTTTTTTTACTTTTTTAGATGCACCTTACTTAAATATATCTAAAAGTAAAAAATTTGTGAAAAAATATTTTAAAAAATTAATAAATACATAAAAATATAAAAAATATACTTAATTCTCGTATTTTTTTTTATATTTTTTGTATTTAGTGAATTTTTAAAAGATTTTTTTCATTTTTTTTTTACTTTTTAAGTATATTTATGTTAGGTATGTCTAAAAATTTAAAAAATTGCTCAAAATATTAAAAAAATTCAGTAAAAACAAAAAAACACGAAAAATAAGAAATTAGAATTTTTTGAAAAGTAATTTTGAAAAATGATGACCAAGCATAGTGAAAACTTACCTACCTTCTCTTTTCTCCAAAAAATTAGATAATATTTTCATGAAAATTGTGAATATTTATTTGTATCTTATATATTATATTATAACATAACAAAAAAAAATTAAAAATCAAATATACAAACAAATAAAATTTATGAATTTGATTTTTATTTATTTAGTTAAAATCTTTCTTTTACATCTCAATATCTAATTTTAAATTTTAAAAATCTTTAAAGTTTATCTAAACAAATCTAATTTGAAAATATCTCCGACCATCATACTTTAAATCAATAAACCCACATATTTATTACATATCTAACTCACGTCATAACTTACATCAATAATAATAATTAAAAAAAAAATAAAAACCATAGATAAATTAAATTGGAAAAAAAAAATAGAAACCCAAAACTCCATCTTAAATAAATTAAAAAAAAAAAACCAAATAGAAACAACACAAAAATAAAAAAATAAAAAGATAAGAATTTAGATATGTATCTCAAAAAAATATGACAATATTTAAATTTGAATTATGATTTAATAATATAATATTTATTTTTCTTATGTATATCTATCAAAATTTTAAATCACTTAATGTGATAAATTAATCAATTTTTAAGTCTTACTTAAAGAATAATCTGATTAGTTATCTCAACTCCTAGACTTTGCGGGCACTGGCAGATGAGCTAACGGATTGGATTAGGTAAAGTCTAAATTGTTGGAGATAACATTCTCTCATTCTATAAATTTATTTGTTTTTTAATTTTATTTTTTTCCATATGTGATTCTCTTTCTCTACTGTTGGTTAGGTTTTGGTTTTGGTTTTGGTTTCGGTTTCAGTTTCTATTTTGATTTTAGTGAGGTTATATGTTTGTTTACAAGTTTGCATAGTAGAAAAGAATTATTGATGATTACGGTTACAGTCTGTTCTGTGCCAAGGATTTTGATCGGATTTTATTTTCTTCAATAAAGACCATAAAATTGAAGTAAAAAAAAAATGGGTATCAAAATTTTTTATTTTCTATTGTCATTTTATTTTATAGGAAATGTGAAAATTTATTGAGAATTTAAGATTTTACTGTAACATTAGGTAAATTTAAAACTTTTAAATATCATTGTGTTATTTATTTTTATCTTCTTTCTATCTCATTGTATAATTACAACTATTTGTTAGTTTGCTAATTATAATTCAATTAATTGAAAATAAAAGCTTAATATAACTTTTCATATATATTATAGTTGTATGTAATAACATAATATATAGGGATAATCTCTAAATATAATTTCTATTTTTTTATGTGATTGAATAGTCCATCTTAAATAGTATATAGAAGAGTTAGATAACTTATTTTATCTCTAAGAAACCCAATCTATTTTTTTTTTTACTTTTTAATTTTTAAATTGAAGCATCAATCGATTATGTCCATAAAACAAAATTGATAAACATATATCTAAAAGCTACACTTTTTTTTTTAATATATAGAATATTTACAAATGAAAAATGTTTGACACCTCAAATTTTTTTCCATAATCTAACTTATAATGATGTAGTCATAAGTGTCAATTTTTATACAAATATGAGAAGAGAATTAATAAAATTATACATTTCAACCAACCACATACTCAAATTTTGACTATTTCAAGATGTTATTTCACTATAATTGCAATTAAGAGAATTTTCAACTCTTAATATTTTCTTTTATCAAATTATAATTTGACAAAAAATTAAAAAGATGAAATGTTGAAAATTATTGTTTTTTCTATCAAAATTGGTGAAAAGAAAAAAAAAATGGGATAAGATGAATTCTTTTAAAAATTGATAAAAATTTAATGAAAAAGTTAAAGTAATTCATATAAAATCAAAAATCTTATTCAAATTTAAAATAAAATTAGATAAAAAAAATTAAAAGAAAATGATGAAAATTTAAAAATATTTTTGAAACCTTCTTATTATTAAAAACAATAAATTCATGTGTGTATTATATTTATATTGTATTTTTAATGGAATTGAAATCAAAAGAAATGTAACTTAAATTATTAGATTAATAATAGAAACATCATATTAATTATTGTTAAATATCACTTCACTTCGCATTTAATAATAAAATTGTATATTTGTCTTAATTATAACTTTTAAATTTGTATATTTTCATAATAAGAAAATATATATCATAACTCATTTAATCTCATTTAATCAGATTTAACTTTTTTTTAATAAAAATTATCAAAATTACACTAATTAGACTTATATATATTTTTTAATTTTTTAAACTAATAATTTAGAAAGTTATAAATATAAAAATTAATTTATAAATTTTATATATATCGCAAGACAAAATATTAAAATATTTCAAGATAGTTAGAATAATTTTTTTTTAAATTTATATACACGAGTTACCACTAGTAATAATAATTGATTTAAACAAGTTAACCAGATCTCAAAAAATTCCATGTATCAAGCAAATAAACTCCTTTTTAAACACTTACATATTATTAAACAAGTTAACCAGATCTCAAAAAATCCCATGTATCAAGCAAATAAACTCCTTTTTAAACACTTACATATTTATGTCATACCTCTCTGTTTCATTAATAAAATTTATTTTCTTTGCTGTTAAAAAAAAAGAAAAAAAAATTCATAGGATTCAATATTTCAAACTTGTATATATGTATATATATATATATACACATATATTTTTTCATCTTTTCTTTCTTGTCACAGGGTGTGAGTGTGAAGTACAAATTGAAGCCAAAAAAAAAAGAAAGAAACAGAGAGAGAGAGATAGGCATTAGATGGTTACTTGGGGGAGAAATTGCGGAGGGAAGAGGAAAAAGAGAGTGATCGGAAGCAAGCCGAATCCGATGAACAATGAAGTCCCACAAATCGATGTCTGAAAGCAATGCTTGGTGAGGCCTGCAGCAGGAAACAACTTGCTAATGCCATTTACAGTAGGAGACAAAAAAAGAGGAGCTGGATTCCGCAAGGAGTTGGTGAGAGAAGAGAGAGAGAGAGAGAGAGATTGCCAGTTTTTATAGTGATTTTGAAATCCGACGAAAACCAACATAAACAAGTGTACAAGTGAGAGAGAGAGAGAGAGAGTTTAGGCAGTTGCGTAGAAGTGGCCAGTTGTGAGGGGCGGCTGTTCAGACAGAGAGAGAGAGAGAGAGACAAAACTCCCATGAAATTTTTCCAAAAATTATTATATATAATTTTAAATTTTAAAAAATGACAAGACATTATTCAATGGGTATATTTCGAAATTTTTTAAACAATTGTGGTGGCTTAATAATTATATACTTTTAAAAATTAAAATAAATTAAAAAAAAAGAAATGGCAAAAGACATTGGCTTCGGTTGGGAAGTGGCTATTTTAGAGACTTTTTGACTTTTTAGTTATTTTAGTAGACTATTTTAATTTTTGTGTTTGAGAAGATGAGATTGATTTTTATTTGAGTTATTGTATTGAAAAGTGTGTTGAAATGATGTTTGAATTTAAAATGACTAATTTGTTCCTAATATTATGATTTTTTAAATTGATGTAAATGGGCAAAATTGTAATTTTCCAAGTGATGTAACAATTTGACACTTTGACAGTGTAGGCTGTGCCTACACTGTCACGGCAACTGAGGCTATTTTTTATTTTTAATAAAAAGAGGTGAATAGTAGGACTTTTTGACTTATTTTTCATTTGAGGCTATAATAGTCTCCAATTGCTCTTCCCAAACAGCGCCATTATTTGATAGGCATATGACCTATCTATCTATACTATATTATCTATCCGGGGTTGGCCCAACCCTTTTATTTATTTATTTATTTTTGTGACAAGAAGGTTTATTGATATTAAATATTTATAATTTTTATATCATATTCATTTAAATTTTTTATTGTATCTTTTTTGTGTTTGTAACAAAATTTTATTTTAATTCTTTTCAAGTGTGCGTTAATTTTCTACTTTCTTTTTTGGAATACCAATATTCAAATTGTCTATCAGACATATTTTAATTTTAAAAATATTTGCAAACAAGACTAACCAATCTACCTAAAATAAAATAAAAAGTTGCATTACAATTAAAATATACTAAATTCTAAAATTGTAGAATAATATACCTGATTATAATAATCCAAATAGCCCCCAAAAAAACAAAATCAAACAGGTTGAATAATTCTTTGTTGGCCTTGCAAATTACCCACCACACCTAACCTTTACAATCGATAAATTTTTACTTAAACACTTCAAACAACAACCATGCCTTTTTCAGCCAATGAGACAGTCACACCTGATAACCTGGAGCAAAATGTCCAGGCTGACAGGTCTCAGTGGTTGCTCTCAAAGCTTCAAAGCTGCCTGTGGGCCGAACTTCTGAACGCCTGGCCTGTGGCCTTTTTCTTTAGGGTATGGCTTCTGTTCAGTCCGGGATCGAATTAGACTGTGTTGTTGAGTCTGTGGGGTTCATCACAGATCCCGTTTTGATAATCTGAACTGTAGAATGTGTAGAAATCGTCGAGTACTATATACCTGTAAAAAATCACGTTGATCGAATATCGATAACTATGTGATCAAAACAGTTTTTTGTCAACCGTTAATTTGTTCACCGTCTAATTTTTTTTAATACAAAACTGATTTGATCATATAGCTATCGATATCCGATCAACGTGATTTTTTACAAGCATATAGTACTTGATGAGTTCTACACATTGAACGGTTCAGATTATCAAAATGGGACCCGTGGTGGGCCCCCACGGGTCCAACAGTACGGTTCAGTCCGATCCCGGACTGGACAGAAACCATACCCTTTCTTTAAATATTCAAATTAATTAAAGTTGGAATTTTTTTTTTTGAAGTTTGAGCTCAAGTTCGATTCAGATGTGTAATGGAGTAAACTTGAGTTGAGTTTCTTAAATGCTTGACAAGTTAAGCGTAAGCTCGATTTGAGCTCAACTAATTCTTTGCGAGCCGAGCTCAAACACCTCTTCTTTTAGCTTGGCTCAGCTCAGCTCGATTCATCTCGTTTACAATCTTAGTTAAGGAGACAATGATAGTGGGGGAAGAGTAGGTTGGCACTACGTACGAAGTAGAAGTTGATGTTAATACTAATTGAAATATCAAAGGATGGAATGCCACAGTTATTTTATATTAAAAAAATTAACATAGATGGATAAATGGTTAAATTTATTACTAGTTTAGAATATTAAGATTTAAATTAAACAAATTAAAATTTAGGGTTTATTACAAAGATCAAACCGAAAAAATTCTTTTATCATTTTCGCAAAACACAATTTACCCTTTTTGAGAGCAACAATAGCTCACACCATGTAAAAGGATGGTTGTGAAAAAATACAAATGAGCTATTGAAATTACCGCTTTTTTATCTTTTTCTTTTTTAAAAAAGAAAAAGATTTATTACTCCATAATTAGGGGGAAATTCTTTTGGGATGTATATCATATGCACATTTAGTTATGGCAATTGTGTTGTTAGTTATTAACTATTATGTTGTTAGTTGTACGGGGGTGAAATATCTTTTGCTTTCCGTACTCCTAGAACTCAAGCTTTACGTAACGACGTCTGACCTAGAAACAAAGAAACGGTGAGCTGCCCGGCGGTGTGTTGCCGGATAGACCCTCCGACGATCAAATCAGATCACTTGAGGAAGAAGAATACTGTTTTAGAGAGAGAGTCGTTCAGATGGCATACCTCCAACGTTTCCCTTCCTTCCTTTTTCTAGGCTGGCCATGCAACCTCAGGGATTATGCGCGCATTACCTCTGCTGTCCTTCCCTAGACAGGTGGCAGTGCTCGCCTCTCACCACCATACGCGTATAAAGGCCAAAACCTCCAAACAATATATGCAGAACTGCCAAGCGGTATTGACGCGTGCTTGGAGCGGGCTTCCCCTCCCCCACATCATTGGTCCAGGTGGCACACTCAACCGGGATACCATGACCGACCTATCCCTTGAAGAAACACAACTACGATCAATACGGCTGAGCTGTAAGAAGTCGGTTCTTCCAGATTGACTAGCCGTGAGGCGCACCGGCCTTTGCCCTGGTCTAAATTCATTCCGGGCTATGCTTGGCGCGGTTCCGATCAGGAACACGAATGCCTAGCCGAACACCTAGCCGAATCACAGCTCGGTCGGGAACACGCATGACCCCATGCTCCGGTCGACTAATCTAGCTCGGCCCGGCGTGACGGCCTGTAGAACCGCTCCAACCGAGCAAACGATGTGACTCGACCACCCGCTATAACCCGCGTTACCATAGCTCGGTCATACCTTTCCGGCACAAATCTCCTTCTCAATTGCCCCTTAATCCCATCTGAGCTAAGCGTGATTAGGATTACTGCCATAACCGAGCTATCCTATTTGGTCGGTCTTCTAAATTGCGCTAGTCGTCTTGTCACCGGTCGTACAACCGTACTGACAGAACCATCTCTTCGCTGCCACGTGGCTTCGCTCCATTGGCTCCGTGCTGTCCCATAGCTGTCTTCCTCACGTGCAAAATTCAAACAGCTGCCGCCGTTTGGGTTTCCCACTCTTTTTATACACACACGAGGGGTCATTCGTGTCCCTACTGTTCATCTTCGTTTTCGAGCCCAAAACCCTAGCTCTTAAAACCGCCATCGCCATTTCTTAAGCTATTTTCGACTACCTTTGATCTTTTAACAACAGTAGGCGAGCTCGAGGTGTGCTAATCTTGCCCAGGCATCCATCATCCGTAAGTTTCCCTGCTCCTCTTTGTGTTTTGCTCTCATTGTTCTTCGTGTTCTTCATTTTTGTTTTTCACGTTTTTGCCTAGCACTGTTGGAATCCTATCAGTACCCTCTCTTAGGGGCAATATTGGTACACCCTAGGAAAAACTGGAATCGGAGAAGCAGATGGGGCTCCTGTGTCCCTTGTTTTCCCAAGTTTTAAAGCACTAACTCCGAATTTGGGATGAACAACCTAAAATCTGCGTAAGACCGATCTAAAAAAATAATTTAGATCCATAGATAGAACTTTAGCCGAGCAAAAACTAGTTAGTGGCTTCTTGTTGAGGCCGCGACCGTGCTGGACACAGGGAATCAGAACCGAATTAGGAAAGCCAAATCGGCAGGATAGTCGAGCCGAGATAGGAGTCGGGCCAGTCAAACGCCCCAGAAACCTTTTACCGAGCTAGGAGCTTCACATAGAAGCCGTGCAATTTATGCCGCGCTAACCCTTGGACTGATTTCTTAACAATGCAGAACAAACTAGGACCGACCAGGCCCGTTCAGCATTACTTCCGGTGAGGCTCAAAGTCTGAGCAAACACACAAAATTTTTCACCGAGATATGACCTAAGTCACCTCAATAAATAAAACCGGGATAGATGGAGAAGTACCGGTTCATAGTGAGTTCTCCCGGGGCCCTTGCTGAGTTCCGTAGAGAGTACAACATTCCAGACGATGTCCATCTGGAGCTCACCAAGAAAGGAGACACCCCATGGGGTGAGCTAGACAAGTGTCCCTTCACGGTCGTGTTCATAGTGGAAGGAGGACTACGCTTCCCGGTCCAGCCCCTGATCTGCGAGTTTTTAAGGCAGACCAGGCTTTGCCCGACCCAGGTTCCCAACAATACATACAAAATAATAAACGGTGTGGCCGAGCTAAATAGATTACTTGGCCTGAATCTCGGCCTCGCTGAGATATTTCACCAATATACCCTTAGCAAAAATAAAGGTGGGCTTTGCTGGTATCTGAAAGTTAGGAAAGGCCGAGCAAAGCTCATTGAAGGTAATCCAGACAAAGAAATCAACGACGACGATTTCCTGTGGGTGTCTGGTCGTTATGAGGACACCGAGACGCTCATACCAAGCTGGTACATTCGGAAAGATTTCGGGAGTGCCGGTTAGTAGCTCGGTGAACCATGTTATTTTCTTTCTGCATTGGTCTTCTTTTGCCAATCTAACACTTGTCTTCTTTTTGCAAATTATAAGCTCTTGGCAGAGGATTACTCCCGCGCTAACCAAGAAGCTATAAGGGTCGTGTTGTGCCAACCGGGCCATCCAAAAGGTCGAGTGCCCCCCCGGTTTGGTCGCTCGAGTTATCATACAAAGGCGGGGCTATCTCCACTGCGGATTCAGTTTACGCG